CCTGGGGCAGCAAGGTGCCTCTGGGCCAGCAGGTGTCAGAGTTTGGTGGCAGGGACACCGGTGGCTGGGTCCAGGGAGCTGGCTTCTCTGTCGGTCAGGGCCGCCTGGCCTGGGTCAGCCACAACAGCACCCAGTCTGTTACTGATGCCTCAGAAGGCGTGCAGTTCTCCACTCTGAAAAGGCAGTTCCAGCCACTCCCGAGTGTGTTATCTGTCACCACAAACAGTGTGGTGGCTGCTGACCGCCACCCTTGTCAGATGCTCTCTAACTATGACGGCTGCAGCTGCTCGACCTTTGTCTCCAAGCTTGACCTTCCAAAACAGAGAATCCAGAGCCACACGTCTGCCACGGGACACTTCTGCAACATGGACAAGAGGGCGTGACTGAGGACCACGATGCGGCCAGGGGACACTGCACCAGCCAGCATCACTCAAGGTCACTCGAGGGTTTCCAGACTCCAGAGTCTTCCATCCAGGCCCCCCGCCTGGGCTGTCACCCTGGCGTTTGAGGTTCCTGTGCCTGTAACATTTGCTTTTGACCCAACAGGAGCCCCAGCACCAGGCAGCTGAGGTGTGGAGCTGAGGGAGAAAGGGAAACCCGAGATCATAGATAGACAGGGCCCGCCAGCCAGGGGTTGTGGAGGATGTGGGTAGGGGTTGGGAACCCTGGAGAGGCCACCGGGTGTGCAGCCAGGAAGGAGGGCAGGCAGGGCAGGTGAGCAGCCTGTGGATGAGGCAGACCTCCACCACCCCTGCTCCTTGTGCCTCTTCTGGGGGTCTCCCGGGGCCCACTCCTTGCTGGGGTCTGGATGTGATCTGTTGACCAAGGACGCAGATGCTGGGGGCTCGGCCCTCGGCAAGATGGCATGGAGGCAGTAGAGCCCTTAAGAGGCAACTTCACTGGGGACACTGTCCTCAGAAGGGAGTCAGGCAGTGCTCCTGGGAGCCTGACTTGGTTCTCAAGGGATACCCAGTGTGGTGGCGGCACCTGTAATTCCAGCACTTGGGAGGCTGAGGCAGGAGGATCTACAGGAGCTGGTGGTCAGCCTGGGCTACATGGTAAAAGAGCACGTGTAAGCACCAATTGTCATGAGTTCTGCCTTCAGCTCTAGTTTTCCATGCCACCATGTGACCCCTTTTTCCTTCCCTTTTGTTATTTTTTTTTTTAATGGTGCTGGGGATGGCTTCACACATGCTAAGCAAATGCTGTGTCACTGAGCTGCACCCCAGCCTTGCTCAGCCTCATTTGAGCAAGCCCTGTGACAGCAGGGCCTTTGCACATGCTGAACCCCTAACTGGGAGGCCTTCCTCTTCACCCAAGCTGCTGCTTCCCTCCCTGGAGGTCAGGTCATCAGTGGACCTTTCCCCCAGTCAGATGCTTTCCATCCTCCCTGTGGGTTACTGGGATACATTTTCAACCAGAGTTTCCAGCTCATGACTGGAATTTTTCTTCCTCCAGGCAAGTCATAAGAATGCTAATTGTCCCGCTGTTAGCTGGTCAGAAGGAAACTTTCTGCTGTCCTTGTGCAAGAGTGGATCATGAGATTCTCCTCATGTTGGGTGTGGTGTAATCCTAGCTTCTTCGGATGCTGAGGCAGGAGGATTGCAACAATCCTACCCCATTTTCCTGAAAATAAGGCCTAAGTGAACAAAAACCTAGCATGAGTTTTCAGGATGCTCATAAAATAGGGCCTACCCACAAAAGAAGCCCCAGTTAAGATCCTCAGCCAGACAGGACCCTTTAGTGCATATGTTATAACATATGAGGGATGCAGCAAATTATAAAGTAGTGATATTAACATATGATTACACACAAGTGAATATTATTAGCATTCATATTTAAAATAAATGATAGTATAAGTGATCATTTATACATAGTTAAGTATTTGTAAATACCCAAGCAGGTGCCTTTGGATGAGCAGTAAATACTTGTGTAAACAGATGAACTGGAGACTTACAGCTGAAGGACGTACTACCTGCACTTGTGTGAAATAAATGTCCTCTGAATTTTGGTCCTGCAGTTTTTTGTCCCTTTTGTGTGACTTTTTTTTTTTTTTTTTGGTCTTTTTGAGGCAGGGTCTCACTATGCACCTCAGGCTGGTCTTGAGTTCACTTTGTGGCCCAGGCTGGCCTTGAACCTGCAGTGATTCTCCTGTCTCAGCCTCCCAAGTGCTGGAATTATAGGCACGGGCTACTATGCCTGGCTACGGACCATCATTGTTACTTGTCATCATTTTGGGGGCCCCTGCTGTCTCCTTAGTCTTCAGTTCACACTTGATTTCATGGACACTTTGGGAAGCCTAACCTGCAAGAGGCTGTGACATGGGTGAAGAATTCACAGGACCAAATTGCCAACAGCTGTGTGGCCAGTGCACTACAGCAGGCCACATGGACATGAAGCCTCATTTAAGGAGAGTTCTGCTGCTGGGCATGAGAGATGGCAGGCTGTGGTCCCACAGGAAACGGAGTCTCAAAAATTCAGGCTGGAATTTGGGGTTTGAAAAGTATGATATTCTGGAAGATAACATGAATAAATGTGGATTTTTGTACATGAATAAATAGCCAGCCTGAGATACACAGTGAGTTCAAGGCCAGTCTGAACTACATAGTATGAATTTGTCTCAAACAAACAAAAATAGATTTTCATATATGAATAAATGAGTAAATACGGATGACATCCCTGTAAAGAAGCCTTACTGTGTCTTTCAGGGTCACAGGATTCCTCCCAGGGAGGGGACTCATTTCTTGGAAATAACTTTTTTTTTTTTTTTTTGGTGTCGGGAATCAAACTCAAGACCTCGCGCATATGCCAAGCAGGCACTTGTACCACTGAGCTAAACCCCTGGCATAACTGAACTTTTTTTTTTTTTAATCGGTACCGGGGATCGAACTCACGGCTGCCTGCTTGCAAGGCAGGTGCTTATGCCGCTGAGCTAAATCCCCAGCCTGCATAAGAGTCTGTAAAATGAACAGCAAGGCACGGAGGTGTGGCAGAGCCAGGCGGGCACCTTCGACATAACAGAGTCCCCGTGTCACCTGGTGCCTATCTGCCCTCCCCTGGGGTGGCGCCCACAGGAAGCTGTCCCGGCACTGCCAAGCCAGGGAACAAGGGAGCCCTGAGGTCAGGGCCCAGGCCTGTCACCTCCATCAGCTTCCCTCTTCCAGCATGTCCCAGTGTAGACGCCAAGAGAGCCTTTGACAGCGGGGTCAAACACCCGGTGTTCACAGAAGGGGAGCCCTGCCCTTCGGGTCCTGCCACCCCATCTGCGCAAACATCATCCGCCAGAGGGCGCCGCAGACCTAGCAGACATGGGGCGGGGCCGCGCCACACCCGGTGGGTTCCCCCAGGCTCTCCATATATAATCCACAGGTATATAATACATGTAATGAGGCTAATGTTTTCCTGGGGACTTTTTGTGGTACTAGGGGTAGAACCCTGACCTAGCGCCCACAATCACTAAACTACATCTCCACCCCGTGTTTTTGGTTGTTGTTAACAAGGGGCCTGCCTTATGTAGCTCAGCCAGGCCAACCTTGAACTAGGCTCCAGTAATCCTCCTGCCTCAGCCTCCAGAGTAGCTGGGACTCGAGGTTCAGCCATGGCATTTGGCTGGTATACTGCATTTTAAAAGATGACAAAGATGTGTTTCAAGATGTGTAGCTTGGATGAATTCCAACTTGCTTCGCTCTGTATTAGGATGAGATAGTTGACAGGGATGCAGAACAGTACTCCTTGCTTTGGCCAAGAGTAAGTTATTTGGCACTGGTACCTGACAACATGACAAGCCCTTTCAGATTCAGAGACAAGGAGACATCAGTGAGAGGCGGCTTGAAGACAGAGGAATCTCTGACGCAGCAGCACCCAGAGGCTTTGCTATTTCACTTTGCACTGGTTCACCAATGCCTTGGGACCTCAGGAAATTTTTACAGTTTTCTACAAAAACATCCTCAGCACAGTCCAGGGGTGCTGGAAGCTCATTTTCTGTCTGGTATGCAACAGATGCCTTAAAGTTTAAAAGTCAAGAAATCAATGAGATGCAGGGGGGAAAACATCAAAGCAGCTGGGGCTGGGGATTTAGCTCAGCGGCATAAGCGCCTGCCTTGGAAGCAGGCAGTCGTGAGTTCGATCCCAGGTACCAGTAAAAAGGAAAAAGACAAAAAAAAAAAAAATCAAAGCAGCTTCAGATGGGGCTAGAAGGTGAGAGATCTGACCACTTGGAGGCCATCAACGAGAAACCCCTGGGATGCCCTGCGGAAGCCAATGCACTTTTCCATCTTCCTTTTATGGCTGGACATGTTCCCATTCAGAAGCCTTCTGCCCCGGTGGCTGCAGATGGCCCACCGCATACCCTAGGAGATCTCGGAGACTCTGCTCTGCAGTTGCTCCTGATGACAGGGAAAAGCAATCAAGCCACGATTCAGGGAGTTGAGCCCATGTTGGAAACACCCCTGCGGCGCCTTAGCCAGGTGAGCATCTGGGCTACCCAGGGAAAGTCCTTCACGTTATCATCACCACCAAGCGGACCAGCTCTGGACCTGGGGATGGCAGAGCACAGCACTCCCTGTCTCTGTCTGGTCTGGTAGAGGTGATATGACGAGGACACTGTGATTCCAGTCATCCAAGGCAACCAGGCTGGCCTCATACTGTGTCACCAGGGCCATCATTAAACCTCAGCTCTATGACTTAGCAGGGCCACTGCAAGCCTTCTGTGCGCCTGTAAAACATACCAAAGCTGAAACCTTTGGCCTAAGAAGAAAATGGAAACATGTGCCATTCAGTCTGTACCTCTTTTTTCAAGAGAATTCCATTAAACTAAAAGAGAAATTCTCGTATTAATAACTTGCCCTAATTTTTTTTGCAAGCGATCAAATTATAGTAAATCCATTGAGAATTTCCTATGATTATAGTCTACTGGTATGCAAACAATCTTGACATTGAGCAGTGATAGATTTTTAAGTAGAGCTTCTAAGAAAAATAAAATAGAACGTATCAGACTGTGCTTGGATTTAGTAATTTTTATTTCCAATGATACACACACAAGTGATAACAGGTCATGTTATGTACTATAGAAAACAGCTCTGTCCTTATATACTGTGTCACATAATTCCTGGCACATATGTGCAACGCTTACCCAGGAAACCCCATACTTTATTACGTAGCCACTTAAAAGGGATTCCACTTTTTTTTTTTTTTTTTTTTTTTTTTTTTTGAGACAGGGTCTCCCTATGCAGTTCAGGCTGGCCCTGAACTCTTGCCGATCATCTGTACCCTCTGATGGTGGCTGCTGACCACTCCCATGGGCCAGTGGGTCAGGTGGGAGGTTATTCAAAGCCCATTTCCTACTGGGGTGGCCCTCAGCCAATCTAGGTCGATTCCAGACACAGAGCCACCCAGCAGGGATACAGGTGACAAAGCTGGCCAGGAGACAGGAAGGGCAAAGCCCTTTGGGGTTTTGTGAGCGGCACCCTGCTCTTCACACCCTGGGTCACTCAGGAGATCAGAAATCCGCATTTACCCCACTTCTTCCTAACCATAGGAAGTGACAGAGAAATGTCTGTGTGCACCTGTCCCATCAACGGGATGTGAGTCCCAGGAGGATGGGGCCGGGCTGTCTCAGTCACCTCTGAGATCCCAGCCCGGTACAGAACAGGCTCTATCTACACAGCAAATGACTCAGTGAAATTTCTCAAATGACGGACTCACATGAGACATTTCTTCTGAGCTTCAGTGACCTCTGAAATATGAGTAAAGAATGCATAAACTTGAAGACACCCAGATTTACTATCGATTTATTTTTACTCCTCTTGCCATATCATGAAATGTACAAAGTTATCGAGCAGGAAGCCAAACCTCGAAGCTCTCTCTGGCTTCTGCACGCACCCACTGCCACCCCAGCACCACCCCAGGAGGACTGGTCACCTGCCATTAGCACATATCTGCTTTCAGGGATGACAGCAGCACCCCACTGCGCTGACACATGATCTGGGGTTTAGAATGCTGCCACCCTACCTCTTCCCTACCTGGGTAACCTGGGACAGTGACTGCCCCTCTCTGCCTCAGTTTCCTCACCAGTGTCATAGACCTTATGCTGTGGCCATTATGCAAAGCCCTCAGAACAGTGCAGGACCACTAGCCAGAGCTCAGCACCCCTGGCCTGTGGTGACAATGACAACTCACTGCTACATAGTCATGAGAAATGTCAGTGCCAGGGTGGACCGTCTCTCCAGGAGTAACCATGGAAACCAGGTACTGAGCCTCTCCCTGGCTATCCATCACCCCTTCATGTGGTGGTACCTGTCCCTTGCCTTCCCCCACTTGAGTCACTCCTAATTTTAAGGACACCCCACTGTGGGCCCCGCTTGGTCCCCCTACACCAGCCTCTCCCCATCTTCTAGAAGTAAAGATGCCCCCTAGGAAGTCCAGCTTCTCGATTTTTCTATTTGGTGACTCTTGTGTCGTGGTGTTTAGTCCCCAGGCAGTTAGGGGAGGAAGGAAGGTCCCGCCTGCCACCTGCACCTGCAGCCTCATGGAAACGGGCCCAAGGATGAAGCCCTGCACACAGATGCCGAGAACTGGGGCTGCTCTGAAAGGGCTGCAGGTAGCCCACTTCCAATGCCTTGGGGACCACGAGGTTGGGTGGGGCTCTCTCATGTTCTGTGGCACAAGTATGACAGAGTGAATGGTGGACCCAAAAAATGTGTGTCCACGCCCTGACCCCTGGAACCTGTGAATGTGGCCCTGTCTGGCAAAAGGCTCCCTGCTGATGTCATCAGGGATCTTGAGGTAAGGGTACCCTGATTTAGCATAGGCCCTAAACTCCTGTGGCAGCTTGTTGGTGAGAGACAGAAGAGGAGAAGGCCACATGGACACGGGGCCAGAGCCAAGAAGGTGAGGAATCACCAGAAGTGGAAGGGAGTGTGGCCCTGCTGATGCCTCGATTTAAATTTTTGATTTCCAAGGCTGCAAGAACTCCTGTTCTTCTAAGCCACCACACTGGGAGTAAGGTCATGGCAGTGTGTGGAAATGAAACACGGGGGAGACCTGGGCCTCCAGAGACAGGAGGGTCCCGCTGCAGGAGGGGACAGTCCAGGGCCAGAGTGCATCGACGGAAGCATGTGCCCAGAAGGTGACAGGTGATGATCTAACACACAGGCCATCAGCCAGGAGATGCCACTGTAAGAGGGTGGGCAAGGTGGAAGAGGGTGGCACAAGGCCTCTGAGGTCAGGGGACAGGCCAAGGCTGAAAGGTGGGTTGGATGAGTCCCAGCAGGGATCAATCTCCCTCCATGGGAGACAGTGAGGGACACGGGACACCAGAAGACCGTGCAGAGCCAGCTAGTGGACTATGCCCCTGGATGAGGGATGAGGGGGTCCTGCTGGAATATCCCAAGCAAAGGGGGATGAGAACACGATATGGGCAGTCAATGTAGGCCAGGATCCCCCCTTCTCCCCTCTAACAGGGAGATGATGCCCAGCTGGCACCACCCAAGAACCCACAGAGGGATTCCACAGAACCAGCAGACAGAGGGGACATTATTCTGATGGCAGAGCCATGGGAAGAGGCAGGGTAACAAGATGACGAGGGGACAATAGGGCAGTCCTGCTGGCCGTGGCCTTGCAGGTCTTGGGATTTGGGTAGCAGGTGAGTGCTGTGGGGGTGCAGAGGAGTCACGTGTTGGTGGGGGCTATCAGGCACATCCCCTGCTCGACTTGTCCCAGAGGAAGGTACCCTGGTCCTGCTTGTAAGTGACTGAATGCCAAGTCCCATCCAGATCTTGGTTCCTCCGGGCCAGTGAGGTCAGGGAGGAGGCCAAGTGGGGGGCGCATGGTGCCACATCCAAGTCCAGGCCTCTGCACCGCCTACTTCTTGGAGGAGGATGCTGCCTGGTGCGCCGGTGGTTGGTCAGGGGTGCAGAGCTGGGCGCGCACTTCCTGCAGCTCTGCACGCAGCTCCTCCAGGGCGCCCTGCGGTGACGCCCTCTGCACCTGCGCCTGCAGCGTCTCCAGTGCCAGCGCCAGCTGGCCCACCTCGTCCTGCAGCGCGTTCCAGGCGGCGCGCTGCTCCTCCTCTTTGTAACGCTGCTGCGACTGGTGGCGCCAGTACTCCAGCACCAGGCAGCCTCCGCCCACGATGAAGATGGTGGCTTCGCCCAGCAGCTCCGCGCCCAGCTCAGCGGCCGCCTCCTCGTTGAGAGGCTTGATGACCGTGCCCCGGAAGCCCATGATGCGCATCTTGGTCCGCATCTCCACCCAGTGGTACACTGCGGGGAAGAGAGGGGTCAGGCGTGCTCGGAAGCCCCAGCCAGTCCCGCCCCCCTGCTGGAGCCATGGGGACCCCCTGCGGTGTGCTGAACTTCACTTCAGCAAGATCTGAGCCGGCCTCACCCTGCGAAGGTGTTGTCACTCGGCCGCCTGAGGTGATTCCAGAGCTTTATTTAATGTGCAGCAGGGTCTTACTATGTAGTGCAGGCTGGCCTCGAACTCGAACTTGAGAAGCTCCTGCGTTAGTGTCTCCAGAGTGAGGATTACAGGTGTGAGTGACCACCGCTTTCCAGGGCGCTTTCTCAAAGCGCCAGAGAGAGAGAGAGACCCTGCTCAGAGGGAGGTCCTCCGACTGCAGGGCTCGAGGAGCTCTCAGAGCTCCCAGCACAGGAAGAAATGCAGAAGCTCAGTAGCAACATGCCACCCTCTTTTAAGTCACCGTGCCAGGCTGTCCCCCTCCCCTGGCACTCCACTCCCCTCACTGTCACACCACCCACTTCCCAGGAGAGGGACCAACACCCAGTCTTTGCTTATCTTCCCAAATGCAGAGTTGGAGCAGTGGCGGACTGTGGACCTGCAGACTCCCAAAAAAGGCACAGTGGATGTGGGCGTGGCTGCCAAGTGAGGATCCTCCTGCCTCAGCCTCCCTAGTGCTGGGATTACAGGTGTGCACCACCACACCCGGCTATATCATACTTTTTGCAAGTCAGGTGACTCCAACCCCTGAAGGTGGCGCTGAGTTGTGGGCTCTCCAAGTCCTGGGCACAGGAGAGGAGGGAGAGAGCTGAGTGCAACAAAGTCCCATTCTTTGCCCAGCTGGGTGTTTTAGAGGAAGGTCCTCAGCCCTTAGCACCAAGGCGGAATTGATGCTGACCCAGCTTTTCCCCAGCAGTGATGCGCATTTGCCCAAGGGAACAGGAAATGAAGGCCAAATGCTCTGGAGACTCAGTCCCAATGCATTTTACGGTTTTTCCCCTTTCTTTTAAGGAGATGGCTGGTCTCCAATTCCTGGGCTGAAGCAGTCCTTTTCCTCAGCCTCCTGAGTCCCAGAACTACAGATGCATGCCTGGCTTTCAGTTTTACTTTTGATGTTTGATAATTATTCATGAAAATGTATTTCATAGGAATGTTTTAGATTGTGTACTAGTTTATGACTTTAAAATTAACTCAATCCAGATGAAAATGCTTTAGCATTCAGAATTTTTTTAGCCACACGATATTAAAATGTAAATTTCTGTACAGTTTGGTTGCTGACATATGATTCATTAGATAGGTGTCTGCTGAGACTACAAATACTAAAGCTCGAGCCCAAAAGAAAACTGTAAAATTTCCGATGATAAAAGAAAAGCTGGTTCTTTGGTCTTTTTTCTTTCTTTCTTTCTTTCTTTTTTCTTTTCTTTCTTATTTTGGTTTGGTTTAGTTTGGGTTTTTTGAGACCTGGTCTTGATATGCAGCCCAGGCTGGCCTCAAACTTGAAGCAATCCTCCTGTCTCAGCTTCCAGAGTGCTGGAATTACAGGTGAGCACCACCATAACCAATTTGAACTTGCTCTTTTTTATTTCATTTTGTAAGTTGGACATTGGTGGGTATCAAATCTCTGCAGTTTGTGGATTGCACCTGATTTGTTCAAAGGAAGGCCAAAGCAGCGCATAAAGGCCACTATTTATAACCATGACTGTTTCCTTTATAACATTTAAACTTATAAGAACTTTGCACTGAAAATGTCCTACACAGAAGGTGGGCATGGTTCCAGGGTCCTCTCAGGGACTGAGTGATGGCAGTGATTGACAGCCCCCCAGGAGCATGACTCTGCTGGTCACCATCAACTGCAGCAGTCACTGATTTAGCTGATGGTTGCTTAGGGCCTGGTGTTGTAGGGCCTTGGCGTTCCAGGCAGTGGGGACACCTCTCACACTGAGGTTTTAGCCTCAAGCCAGCCCAGCATTCACCTGGGGCTTGGCTGCCCATTGCCTGGGTGACAACAGCCCACCCTGAGCTGCTTCTACTGAGCAGGGAGGTCACATCTGCCTCCTTCCTGTACTGACCTGGTGGTAGCCGGCAGCTGGGCCTGGAACTGACACCACTTCCGGTCACGAAAACCCAGCGTGGTAAAGGAGGCCAAGCTGCTTCTGCGTGCAGCATGGTGAGGGAGTGTCCCACGCAGGTGCATGTCTCTGCAGACCCAGCGTGGGCTCCCAGCCATGCGAGAGGGCATGTGGGGATGCTGGGGCACAGGGCCTCACCGCGTATGCAAAGGCTTTCAGAGTGGCGCTGCCAGTGTCCGCCCCGCCCCTCTGGTCAGGGGTCTGACTGGGGTTCGGATAAAGTGTGTGAAGGGGTTAGGACAGGTTAAGCCTGAGGGCTGACTCCCTCAGGATGACCTGTGTTGTGTTCCCAGATGGCCCTCAAAGTGCATGTGTGGAAATACAGTCCCCAACGCCACAGAGCTGAGCGTGGTTCAGCTTGAGGTGGCAATCAGCTCATGGGGACCCTGCCTTGTAAGGGGGTGAAGTCACTGCAGCTGCTGCTGGTCAGTCTAGCCTCTACCCCTAGACTCTCTAGTGTCATGCATCCTACCAAAGGATGACCTGGCACAGAGGCCCTGGCTGGATGCTCCAGCCAGGCTCTTAGACATACTGGCCTCCCACATTGTGAGCCAAGTAAATTTCTGTTCATTATAAATTTCCCAGTGTGTAGTGCTTGCTTATTTTTTGAGCCAACGTCTCAGTATACAGTCCAGGCTAGTTTGCAACTTGTTGGCTGGCCTCCAAACTGAGATCTGAAAGGGTTTTGGCCCAGACAGGACTCTGTAGCCAGGAAAGCCTCAACCAGAACCAGGAAGCTCCTATCTCCCCCGCCCCTAGGAATTTACCTGTGACTCCATCCTCCCCACCCCTGGGAATTTACCTATGGCGCCAAACCTAGGACCAATGGGCTACCCGTGCATCCCTAATGCCCTCCTTAGGTTCCACCCCAAACCGAGGCTACTTACATACCCCCGCCATGTGTCCGCCGGAGAGATCTCCGGACACCAGCGGTGGGGGGTGCCGGTCAACTCTCTCTGTGTTCTCAGAATAAAGGCCGCTTTTTGTTTTATACTTCTCACCTTTTGGAAATATTTTTCACCTTTTGGAAATAATCCTATCATTTGGTGCCGTGACTCAGATCGGCAGGCGATTGACTCCTGGGACACACCCAGTGGATTCCCCAGCCAATTCACAAACCAGATCACATCCTGGATTAATTCCATGCTTTTTCCTCTCCCGAGACGTCCTTGTGGCCAGCTGTCTGCACTCACCATCGGCCAGATTGATTTCAGGTGAGCACTCTCCAGGGAACTCTTGGCACTGGGCAGCCCAGTCGACTGTTCTCCCCATTCGAGTGGGTCTGTGGCATTTTCACATCCTTAGGACAGCCCAGGGCAGGGTTCTTTCTGGGAAAACCTGTGTCCACACTCTAAAATCTCTCACGTTCTGTGGGTTTGGATAGCCCAAAGCAGAGATTTTTGGACCACCCACACTGAAAGGCCCTCACTTCCCTTAAAGCCTCGAGCTTTCACGGGCAAAACTGTTACTGACCCCACGTGAACTCCACTCGTAAATCTCTCAGTGACGACTGGAATATACAAGTTTTTGGAACCTTAGCCACCGTGTGGTGCCACAAACGAGTGTTGGCTTGTTCTGGACCACTGGCTTATTTCTTGTCTGAGTCAGTCATGGGAAACGTATTTTCTAACTCCCAAAAGCTGCCTTTACAATGCCTAATTTCCAATTTATGTACTCTAAAAATTAAAAGTACTATAAAAACTAAACAATTAACTTTTTACTGCCAGGAGGTCTGGCCAACCTACCCACTTATCAGCAATCGTTGGCCCAAAGAAGGAACATTTGACCCCTGCATTCTCAGAAATTTGTATGATTTCTGTCAGGCCGGTGACAAGTTATTAGAACTCCCTTATATTCAGGCCTTTCTTATTCTGAGAACACGTCTGTCTCTCATTAAGTCTTGTGCTCCCGCTCAGACACTTTTAGCTAACTCTACCGCGCCGCAAACTTTTCCGTCCTGCCCTCTGGTGTTTTCCTGGCCACCGCCTCCCTATCCCCAAAATGGTTCCTCACCGTTATCTCCTGCTGTGGGATCGTCTTCCCCTCTGTCTCCCGGGACCCATAATTCTCCCAGTGGCTCTAATCCCTCTGTTAGCACTTCCTCACAGTCTCCGACTTCTTATTCTCCTGAGAATTCTCTATCTCCTACAGCATTCTCACCGCCCACCCACCAAACTAGGTCTCAGTCACTATATCCTTCCAGTAGGCCACGTGACTGTTCCAGCTTGTGAAAACTCTCTGCCATGTGTTCGGGCACCGCCATGTTCCCAGGGACCTCACTGTCAACGGGCGCTCCCTTGTGGCTCCTCTTTTGAACTGCAACAGCCGCCCTGTTGCAGTGCACATGATGCTTCATTGTGCTGCCCACAGCAATCCTCTTGCTGCAAGGCACACAGTGAGACGCCATCTGCCTGTGTTTCCCAGGGTGACCAGCAGCAGCTCTGTAGCCGCTCTACAGATGATTGCTCACATGCACCAACCAGACAGATGGCTGCCCAATGGCCCTCTGCTCCGGAATCTTCTCCTCAGGCTCTGCTACCACTTTGGGAACAAACTAGCCCCGAGGGACTTGTTAACATCCATGTGCCTTTTTCCCTTTCTGATCTATCTCAGATTACCCATAAATTAGGTAGCTTCTCTGTTAACCCACAGAATTATATCAGGCAATTTGAATTTATTACTAATTGTTATGATTTACATTTTATGTGATTCTAAATACCACTCTCAGCTCACAAGAGCAAAATCAGCTGTGGCAAGCAGCTCAAGAAAAAGCTGATCGGCTGGGGATTTAGCTCAGGGGCATAAGCACCTGCCTTGTAAGCAGGTGCTCGTGAGTTCGATCCCTGGTACCCATAAAAATGAAAAAGACAAAAGAAAAGAAAAAGCTGATCACA